AAAAGGGAACCCCCCCCCCCCCCAGGCACGCAGTCCCAGCGGGGCCGACGCTACACGAGGAGGTTCTCGGCGCTGGGATTTCTCCCCGGGCACCCTGCCCAGCAGCCAGGCTCCCGGCTCTGCCTGTGGGATTGATCGTAACGATTTTAACACGCGCTGCGGGCAGCGGGGGCAAGAGCAGCAGTCAAACCAGCAACGAGAGTTTTCCCCAGAGCTCCCCTGTACCTGCGCCACCAGGACCGCGCCTCTGGTCATCTCACTAACGGCGGCGTTGGCTTCGGATGAAAAGTGATCCTCGTCTTTGGAAGGAAAAAGAGCAGGAGAAAACAAATGAGACATTCACAGGCTTTAAAGGCCGGAAGGGACTATTAAGCTAATCTCGTCTGACCTCCTACGTAAGTTAGGCCAGAGAATCCTCACCTACTGTTGCTGCACACATTTGCTGAAACCAGTCTATTAAGCCGGAGATCACAGCAGCATTAGCCCTGCTGTGCTGCTGAAGGGAAAGGATGAAGAGCTTCCTAAAGCCACTGGCTCAGTTAATGTGAACATAAGTGGCTGATGAATTAGGAGGCTTTAAAGACAGAAAAGTATCCTTCTGCAGAACCTCTGAGCTGCCGTTAGTGTTGTGATGCTTAATAAACTAAGCTCAGGGGCCTCAGGACTTTACTGACCCTGCGCAGTGAGCTCCTGTAAAGGGGAGCCCAGAGCCTCTGGAGCCGGGAACCTCGCCCCGCACGGCTTCCCTGGGCACTGGGGCTAACGCCACATCTGCAAGGCAGCGGGAAGCCCTTCCGTCCCAGGCGACACCTACAATCTACTGAGAACACTTCTGTCCGGTCTGCATTTCGGAGGGAAGTTGCCCATTTCCTACCGAACTGCTGCCAAATGAAGTTTCACCTCTGTGCTCCCCTCCAGCAAGCAAACCCCTTCCAACCCCACCGCTACTGACGGAGGTTGGTCACCTTCGGGAACGTGCCAAGCACTGACTTCTGCTCGAAGCAGCTCAAGCCTTGTCACCCCTCTACAGCCTTGGCAGGGCCTGTACTGCTGGAGTCCTGCCAGCCACAAACCCCTGTGGTGACACCTGCCCTGACCCCTGAAGCTCCTACAGCCTTCTGCTCCCAGAGGGCAGCTCTCTGGACACCAACACGGCAGGCATTGCTAACACCTCCAGAAAAAAAACCAAACAAAACAAACCCAGCCCCAAAAACCCCAGAAAGCATTTCCAGGCAGTGCCTGACACTCTTCATGCTTGCAGGGTAGCCTTTTGAACACAGAAGTGTATGCATCATTCATTTTAGTTGGAAAATGTCAGAAATTTGTCTAGCAGATTAAAAACTAAGTTTGCATTCACAGCTATTCTATGACAGAATAAGGCAGCGTGGTTAGAGCTACTTCACCTATACCCTGCCAGTCCTGTCAACTCGCTGTTTAGGAGAGTAATTCATTCTCTCCTCCGTGCAGGAAAAGGCTCAGACATTTATCATCCTTCCCCTGGAGTCTGACAGGTTACGCTCTCCTAGCACATTTAGAAGAATAAAACACAGTTCTTCCAGTCCTTGCTCTAGTCACATCAGAGGCTGCGCTTGCAAGAGGAGGGAGAAGGTTTAGACAGAATCACGGCTCCACCGCTGGCACCCACTCACACCTGCGGGAGCACCCCCGGCACGTCTCGAGAGCGCCTTTACCTGGAAGCGGCACCACGTTGTCTAGTAAAACCTCTGCTCCTTGGAAAGGTAGTGATAAAAAATCAGACCTTAAAGAAGAGAGAATCAATCAGAATAAGAACACAGCTTTAAGTTACTCGTGTATTCTTCACAGTGACATTGATTAATCAATTGCCCTAACAGGAATTCAGTTTAAAATTGATGACAGTCAAACAAACATCAGACTGGTCTCCCAGCAATGTAAGCGGCAGCAATAAACAGTCCGATTGGCATGCCAGGTTCGAGCGGGCTCCAAGCAAGAACCACCCCCGTAACGGAGGCTGTACCGCCTGCCTTCCACCTCTGGGGCACGGTCAAGTATTTAATGGGCTTGTGCAGGAAAACCCTCACCCGACAGGGCTCTCCCAGCCCATGGGGCTGGGAAATGAAGAACCCGAATCCTATTCCTAGCTCACCCACGAACTACAGGCCGGGGGCTCCTGAAGGCAACCCTTTGCTCAGCTTCCATGCCGAAGGGGCAGAAGTTGCTATTTCCTCTCCCCTCCCCTTCAAACAAAGCCTTGCAAGAGCTTGCTGCGCTCCCAGGGAATCCACCCCCGCTGCAGAGACAAACCTTTCTACCATTTCCTGCTCCTGTGGAAAAACCTATAAGCAATTCAAACGATACAGATGCCTCTGATGAAGATCCAAGCCAGAAACGGCCTCAGGCCACGGAAGAGGAGCTAGAGACCTGATTTGTCTGAGTGTGTCGATCTTCACTTTGTCATATCCTCCGTAGTCCACGTATCTGAGCTCCACTTCACTGGTCTCTTCGAAGTAGCTAATGACTTGAGCCCGTAACCACGCGCCGTCCAGGCCCGGGGCTGCACAGATAATACCAACTGCAAAACAGAAGAGTGCAAGGAAAGGCTCAGTGCAAGCGGAATTCCAGCAACCAGCACCTGAGGCATTAGTAGCGCTGGGCAGTTAGCTACGGAGAACCAAGAGCATTCCTTGTGCTGCCTCCATCTTCTCCGCCACCACCCATACCCCCGTCAGACAGGGCCTGCACCTGCGCCACGGGAGAGGTGGGTTTCACTCGCAGGTCTGTCTGCCACTACCCTGCTGGTCTACCCAGGCATCCAGCTCCCCCCCAGCCTCTGGCCACCAGGAGTGAGCTGTCTCCAAAAAGGAAAGCAAGTGCCAATAACCCCTTCCACGTGACGCACCCTCCACTTCACACCACGTGCGGATGGCAACACTACAAAGGTCTGGGAGTTCTACGCTTGGTCAGCAAAACTACAGCAGGTGCTGAGTGGATTGGAAATAACCTGAGATGGACTTTATCTCATTCTGCGTTTCAGCATGGAACTAGCGTCTGGGGAGGTACTCCAGGGATGAGTGGGGTAAGGAAGAATGGAGCAACGTCTGTATTCTGGCAGCAGCTTAAAGATGAAATGACAAATGAACTATCACATTCTCACCCACTGGGAAACTTCTCAAGCCTGGCTCAGGGGCATCAGGCTTTCGCATGACCCTAGGAGTTTCTCAATTGAACAATCTGTGAGCGACCCAGGTACTTGCCTTCCACTGGAGTTGGCAGGGTTGGAATTTCAGGTTGGGAGTAGCAGGCATACATCTGCTGGTCGAGGCTACGCAGGACGTGGAAAGTGGGGTGCGTGTGTTGCTGGAGAAACATGTGTCCTGCATCCACTTGGTTCGCCACGACCACCTCTACACTGACTCCATCTGGGAGGAACAGCTGTCACGGAGGAGAGGAATTCTCATTAGAGGTCAGTGCGACACAAGCTTCATTCCCTGCAACTCCACGTTCCACCAGGAACCCCCAACACTTACAGCCATGGGCGGAAGAGCCCTGGCACTCTGGTATTTCACTTCCAAAGGTGCTTTGGATCAGGAGCAGAAAGCACGAGAAATCAGCCTTGGGGTGGGGCCCATCGCGTACACAAAAACTATCAGCACAGAGCAGCTGCAAGACTTATTTACCCAAGAGATCATCGAGCAGTGGGAAATGATGCAGGTCAAGTCACGCTGCATTACCAACACAACACAACTTGCAAGGATTCCCTGCCCACGGGGTTTTTAAACATCAAGGTAATCTTCGCAGGGATTGTCCAAGATTTGTCACTGAGGCTTTATTTCCAGAGTAACTTGCTCTGTGTGGGGCAGCTTCCAAGTATCACCGCGCCAGAACACATCTAACGTGCCTTTAACTTCCCAGCATAAATTCACTTCTCCAGAACAAAGCACAGAAACACATCCATGGAGACAGTTACGTGTGCATCTACTTTAGAGATTCTAGGTGCCCAGTGTAAACAAAGTACCCACATAGCAAAAGCATGAAAACACTTCTGGGAGGCACTGGCGTGAAAACCTCCTTTATGTGTAATTAAATACCATACGGAATGAAAACCTTTTGAGAAGACTAGCTTCAGGATTTAGTAATGGCAAGGGGCCAGTGGGGCATCCCGACCTCACGGGAGGTGGCCCTTAAAGCAGAGGGGGCAGACAATGAAGTCTGCTGGAGACCCTTCCGCAAACACCTAGTCTGTAGGTAAAACCCTCCCAGGACGTGCAGCCCCGTGAGATGAACCCTCTGCAGAGGGATCTGGGCAGGCTGGATCCATGGGCCAAGGCCAGCTGTACGAGATTTAACAAGGTCAAGTGCTGGATCCTGCACTTGGGTCACAACAACCCCACTCAACCCTACAGCCCTGGGGAGAGCAGCCGGGAAGCTGCCTGCTGGAAAAGGGCCTGGGGGTGCCGGTCAACAGGATACGCGCCAGCAGTGTGCCCCCGCGGCCAAGAAGGCCAACTGCATGCTGGCTTCTATCAGAAACGGTGTGGCCAGCAGGACTAGGGAAGGGATCCTTCCCCTGTGCTCAGCACTGGGGAGGCAGCACCTCGAACACCGCGTTCGGTTTTGGGCCCCTCGCTACAAGACAGACACTGAGGTGCTGGAGCGGGTCCACGGAAGGGCAAGGAGGCTGGTGAAGGGTCTAGAGGACAAGTCTTATGAGGAGAGGCTGAGGGAACTGGGGGTGTTTAGTCTGGAGAAAAAGGCAGCTGAGGGGAGATCTTACACTCTCTACACCTACCTGAAAGGAGGTTATAGCAAGGCGGGGGTAGGTTCCTTTTCCCAAGTGACAGGGCAAGAGGAAACGGCCTCAAGTTGAGCCAAAGGAGGTTTAGACTGGTACTAAGGAAAATTTCTCCACTGCAAGGGTTGTCAAGCATTGGAACAGGCTGTCTGGGGAAGGGGTTAAGTCACCATCCCTGGGGGTATTTAAAAGACGTGTAGCTGTGGCACTTAGGGATTGGTTTAGTGGTGAACTTGGCAGTGTTAATAGTTGGGCTTGAGGATTTTAAAGGTGTTTTCCAACCAAATGATTCTACGATTCTACATTTCCCAGCTCTCGGGCAGAATGCAAACAGTAGTGGAAGAACAGGTAGATAAATCTGATCTGCAGCAGTTACCTAAGCTGGACAACAGATGGCCCCACAAAATCAAATTGTTTCTGAGGGCATCTGTGAAGCAGCTACACCGATATAACGCACGAGGACAGCGGCCTTCCACCCCGACGACAGTGTGGCCGGCGAGCTGGGACCTACCCAGGCAGTCATAAGGAGGGAATGAAGCGTCAGCGGTGTTGGCGGAGGTAGAGCGTAGATGTTGGTGAGACACAGCTCTTTGAACTTCCTGCCGATCAGGCTCAGTACTTTTTCCACTTGTTGCGGGGAGCCTGGAAGACAAAAAAAGCTCTGTAGAGAAAGTCTGTGGCGCAGATATGCTGAGGGCACCTCCACCCCCGCCCCGTGAAGCAGGACCGATACCCGAAGCCCTCTGTGCTGCCTCAACAATTTAAGCTCTACCAGATTGGCCACATAATCTGGTATCGGGCCAACGTGAGCAACTCGGATCGCCAGGCCCCAGCATGAACCCAATTCACAGGCAGATATTTTCAGCCACAATTAATCTAACACCCTTCAGTCGAGGCCGCGTTCGCCGATACGCATCGCCCAGCTCCTCCTTCGGGCCTGAGGCGAATCTGCACAAGGTGTTGGTTAAACTACAGCACCTGAAGCTGTTAAACCCACTCTCACCTCTGGAACAGAGGGTCAGAGGGTTCACGTGCCAGGGCACAGGTGCCCTAGCGTACACCTCGGCTGTAACAGCACCGGCCAGAGAAGGTCTGTGAAGCACTAGACTCACAAACCCCCTAAATCTCTTTAAATTCCCTGCCCATCTAATGAAGGCCCCCAAGCTACATATTAAACCACGAACAAAGAGACTTTCCACTTGCCTTCGATGTGACAGACTTGGGAGTCACGGAAGTAAGGTAGTGTTGAGACATAAATTTTGGCACCAGACGCTTGCCTCAAGAAGCTCATAAATCTTCCTTGTTTGCCAATCAAGCGGCCAACTAATTTCTTTATGAAAGGGACAAGAAAGCAACAGTCAGGAAGAGAAACACAGACCAGACAATACTGTTCTCTGTGGCTTCTTCCACCCACGTTCCCAGTTTCCTATAGCATAGGGCCAGACGGGATAAATACATGACAGTGGTGGGCCAGTGCCGAGTTCTGCTGGTCTGCGCTGAGCCGGGGTAGACACAGGTCAGAAAGCACAGCTCATTTTGATAGATGCATCTTCCTATCTTGTAGAATGACACAGAGACACGATGGGACAAAACCAGGCCTGGTAAAGGCTAGCGTCTTCCCACAGTCAAGTCACATCCTCTCCCAGTCTCCCGCTATTTTTTTTTTTTTTTTTAAAGCATGCGACACATTTTTAATTCATATGCGAAACACTAAGTTTTAGCAATTTTTAAACAGGCTGATTAGAAAGGGAGTAGACAAATTCACAGGAGTGTAAAGCAGGCTGTCACGCCCGCTGACTGCGGGGTCCCTGCCTGGCTGTGCAGGGGGTGGAGGGATGTCTGTGCCAGCTCTGCTGCTCCTGCTCTTCCACCGGCACCAGCCACCACTTACAGCCCGAGACCAGAGCAGAAGTGCGGGGCCCGAGTCACTGTGGACAATCCCACACAGTGCCAAGTGACCTGCTTTAAGAAAAGTGACAGCCCTGTCTTCTCCAACCCCTGAAACCTGTGTTTCTGCTGCAGAACCGCTTCCCTAGCCCATGTCCTACTGACACACTGCGGAGTGTTAGAGGTCCTCCCTGGGTGACAGCACCCGGAGGCAGCACGCTGCTCCTGCTGGGACCTGCTGCCTCACGTTACCTGCTCCTAGTATTTGGGTCTGTCCAGAAGCAGAACAGCAAGAGCAACGCTGTGCAGGACAGCCACACGTGACTTAGCATATACAAAGCAGGGACAAAGGTATGAAAGCAGTCTCTCAACCCAAAGCTCACTGTAAAGTCAGAGACACAGCAGCTCCACAGAAGAGCGTTCCGCTTGTGAGGAAGGGTTTGGACGGGCAGCTGTAACGTAACCCTCCTACATAGTGGAAAGAAAAAAAACCTCATCACCTGCTCTTGGTAACTGTGTACCCTCAAAGCCTTCTGAACGCTGTTAAAGCATCACACTAAGACTGGGGTGTAAGCTCATGGGGAATGATGAGCCCAACAGCCGTTACCCGGGGTGTAGCCCTGACATGCCTCTTGTTTACAGCTGTGTACCAGCTCTTCACTCCTGTGGAGTCCTAATGGGAGCTAAACACTTAAATCCTCGTTGATTTGTCACTGATCTCCCCGGGATGGCGCTGAGCCAGCACCAGGCTGGAAGAACCAGAAAACGGCCGCGTAGGGCAGGGCAGGGTGTGCGAGCAGGCCTGCAGCTGGTTACCTTTGGGACCTCTATTTCCCAGATAACGAAGTCAGACTTGCTGGGTTCTCCTTCTAGCTTAGAGTTCTGGCGAGTCACTGTCTTCCTCATGGCACAGCCACTGTCCACAAACTCCATGTTACTTACATCCGAACCTACAAGACAGGCACACGTGTCAGCATTCAGACAACCCACACAACCCAGCTGCAGACAGAGGCCATGAAAATGCACCGTTCCGTAGAGACGGCACATCGAGCTCTTCCTGCGCTTTCAGTTGGGGTGTTCCTGTATCAGGTTGTCCAGTATTTCAGAAAGGGTAAATCCTGTCACACGTAGCCTACTGAAAGTTGCCTTTTATTCCTGGAGAAAAATCTGCACACCCCGGGAACGCACCAGGAGGCTCGAGTTCAGCCAGAGTCCTTCAGCCGTGGTGACACCTTACACAGCAGCAGAGACAGGACACGGCACGTCGAAGTTACTCGCTCCGTGAGAGGTGTGCCAGCCTCAGCACCGAGCTGCTGCTGCTGCAGCAAGGTACTCTGCATCTTCCCCGTGGCTTCAGGGGGAGGCCGGCAAGAGGGAGGGACACACAGCCCCTCCACCTGCTCTGCGCGCTGACGTTACCTTCCCGCCCCAACTCCCGAGTGCCAGGGGGGCCCACTACAACCTGTGGTAGGGGACTGCCTCTTGCCCGAGCTTGTGATATGCTTGAAGAAACCAGGTGCCAAAGCTGAGCTGTTTGTTCCCAAACCATCAGCCAATACCAGAAAGATTTCTACTTTGGAAAGGAACAAACTCAAACAGGTTCCTCCTGGTCAGATCCCAGATACAGTCAGCGTAACACAAGGTTGATCCTTCCTCCAGATTAACAAGCAGAAGCATGAAAATCCTCACTTGCTTGCAAGTATTCAGACCATCCAAGTGCAAGACCAAAGAGAAAAATAAACCCAACAGCTGCTTCACATTTGCCACTTCTTAACTAGTAACACAGCACAGATGCCTGGAAAGTCAAAAGCAAACAGTGCAGCTGTTTGCCACAGACTTCCTAGAGGAGGATGAGGATTTCAGTCTCACAGCCCGGGTGTGAAGGTCAGCCGTACGACCTCGTGGCCACGTCATCACCGTTACCTGCTACAGCCCCTCTCCCCACCCTTCTGCTGCCTCAGTGTGGAGCTTTCAGCCCTAACACCAGGCTCCACAACGCACTCTCGTACCTTCTCCTCACACCAGCACTCACAACAAGGCAAAACCATTTTCTTCCTATGGTTGCTCTCACTAGTGAAAATGTTTTGTGGGTTTAATCCTCAGTTGTTGGCAAACTCAATCTCCCTGTCTTACAACAAGCAGCATTCCAGCTACTTTGCAAGCAATTACAGAAGACATCCTGTCATTAAGGGCTGTTGGCACCACAGGATCCTATAGAGGATTTGAACATCCATCCCCAAGGTCACACAGGTTAACATTTGCTCAAACAGCTCTGTGTTCTGCCAGGCACACATCATCCAGGATCTAGAAGGCAAAAGCAACACAGAGACAGATGGGGGAACTCCATGAACATTGCTCCCTGTTGGGATTTCTTGGCAGGCACCCACCCTTCCATGAAAAAAGGCTTCAGGGTAATTGGTCTGAAACCAACTGATTTTATCACAGCTCATCAGAGCAGTTCCCTGGTTCATCCAGCAGCCCCTCAGAAACCTGCCTTACAGCTTCCCTTCAGCAGCAGTCCGCAAACCCGGGCAAGAACCCAGCGCTCACTAGAGGCAGCCTGAACTGGAGCAGAAACCCTTGGCATTAGCAGGTCCCAGACCAGCCAGGTGCTCAGTGGCCTGGCCTGCATCCACAGCCCACTCACCCCTGCACAGGCTTAGTTTAGAATAAACTTTGTGCTGAGAAGGGGACCGGCCCGTTCCCCCCTTTGCAGCACACCCCGAAGATCACCCAGCTAAGCCTGGATCCTAGAGATGGGGATCCCGAGAGCAAACGCACGCCCACCTGCACACGAGGGCTACACGTTCATCTGCTGGGGAAGTTAAACATGAAGAGGATTTATCCGAACATGCTGTGAAGCAGAAGGGTTACAGCACGTAAAACGCCTGTTCACCACATTTTTGCAGGAGGGTTTTTCAAATCCCTTACCTGCCAAGTGATCTCCATCTGTCCCCGCTGCCCTGCTACACTCATAGTGCGAGTCTGGACCATCCTCTTTCAATATCCCGTTGCTGTATGGCACTTCGCTGTCTTCAGGTAGTTTCAGAGTGGGGTTTTTTTCACTTGGTGCCGAGCTCTGCTCAGCAGACGTGCCTTGGGCTGCAGCTCTGCCCGGTGAGTCCGACTGCCGGCCTGCTACGGCAGACAGCACTGCGTTCTGCAGCGGGTCCTCCACGCTTGTCCCACCTTCAAACGTGTAAGTGCTGCACCCAGAGTCCTCCATAACCACAGGCGACCTTTCCAGTGGCCCTCCATGGCTTTCCACAGGGGCCCGATCCATGCCTCGGGCCTCACTGCACACGCGGTTCCTCGTCCGACAGTCCCTTGTGTCTCCCTGAAGAGGGACGGACAAACGGCCGTGTGTCGAACAGCCGGACTCTGCCACGCTGGGATCCCGTGCCTCTGGCTGCGGGGACGTCAGTACCACAGCGTCCCTCCGGGCAGCAGTGTCCTCCCCGCCCGGCGGAGCTTCCTCCGCGAGCGTCTGCTCCGAGGGAACAACGCCCGCTGCCTCCAGCGGCCTCTCGCCTCGGCTGGCCGCGGCCTGGCAGATCCAAGTGGACACATCACTTGCGGAACCAGACAGCACTTCCTCAGTTGCTGCCAAAATGACCTTGGAAATGATCTGTATTGCTACTTGCTCAATTTTCTCAACTTCTTCCTTGGCCAAACTGACTCCTCCAATCTCCTCTCTTTCCAATTCATCTCCCTCTGGCTGCGAGTCCTCCTCCCGACACGCAGGTACAGCACTGGCAAGGGACTCTGCCTCCTCTTCCTCCCTGGGCTGTTCCAGACAGGCAGGCTCCGAACTATCCGGTAACACGCTCACTGCGGAATCCTTGTGACTTGATACAACTTCATTATTAAGAAAGGCTCGTGGGGTATTGGCTTCCTTCTCCAACCCCAAGCAAGGGGCTGTCACAGAGCCAGCATGTGACAGCACGATTTCTGACACCTGGCTTTCCTTAGCGGGCTGAAATGAAGATTCATCTGACTGCTCTGCACTGCTGATCCCCTCCGTGACTCCTGGAGGCTCCTGTGTCAGGGATGCTGATGGCCACTGATCTTGGTTGGCACTGGAGCTTGAATCCTGTTTAAGGCTCCCTGCAGCACTCCCACGACACTCCGGGCTCCTGGAGATCAGAGGGAGAGAAACACAAGCAGGGACATGGCTTTCGTCTTGAGATCCGATTGTGTCTAGTTTTTCACTGTCATCCTCAAGGGCGTTGGGCGGAACTGTTGTTACTGACAGGTCTAGAAGGTCCTGTGAGAGATCTAGCCTCTCGTGAGTGTGCAACAGAAGAGAGGGCGTCATCAGCCCTGCTGACAGCAGGGAGGTCGAGCTTTCAATCTCCGGGCACTGCTCTTCCCATGAGACAGACAGTCTTTGAGGAACACATACTTCTGTTTTGGGTGATGAATCGTTTTCTAGCACTTCTTCAATGACTATTGCCTGCTTGTCGTGATAGCCCGCGTGCTTTTTCCTATGGGCAAAGATCCACCAGCAGCCAAGAAGTGCCAGCACTCCGGGTATGGCATATGGGATGAAACTGCGGAAGCGCAAAGCCATTTTTCCAGAGCCTCAGCAATTATATCTAGAAGGAGAAACGGAAACCACGTTAAAGCAGTCGCAGGGAAAGTAACAGGAAGGCTAAAGTTTCATCAGTGCCTTGAGGTATTAGTGTGAACAGGATTGTTTTCCAGGCACAATTTAAATTCACATCTCTGCTCTGCCAGCAGAGCCCAGAACAAGATTCTCACCTGACTGGGGGTGTCTGGACATTTCTCACCGTTACACTCACCGAGCTCACCTTTCCTCCTCCTGCCTCCCCTTGGCAGGTCCGTACTACACACAAGGACCGCTTCCAACGAGTCCCTCGGGCAGCAGGCCGGGTTCACACACACACCTGCACCACAAGACACAGGCTCGACACCCTGCCCAGGACCCCGCGGGACAGGCAGCACCACGCTCCCGAGAGCTCCGCAGGCTGACGACACGCACTCCTCTCAAGCTTCACAACCCGCTGAAGGAGAAGTGATTCCACAGCGCTGCGGGAGGCCGGCGCGCGGGCACGCGACAAGAGGAGCAAACCAGCAACACCCAGCTACTCCATTCGCTTCTACACGCGGAGTGTAGGAATTCCTAAACAAAGAGCAACTACAGCCTGAAGAAGTGTCTCCCAGCAACCAGAAGTCTCTCTAAAAGATTTTGTAGTAGTGCAAATGGGAAATAACCTGTAACACCCTACAACAGCAGTAATTGTCTAACAAAAGCAGCCCGGATAGAGACACTACTACTTAGGAACCCAGCTCCAAAGTTTGGTTTGCATCTAAATTTACTACATCGACAGCTGCTACTCCTCCAGCTTTCTAGATGTGAAAGCTGTCTCTCACTCTAGAAAGTGTGGGAGCCCTTCCCCACCCGGACACCGAAACTCGCGTCCCAGTCGTGCTCCCCCACTTACAGCCTCTCCTGGGTTACACCAGGCAGAGCTGACATGCTTTTCCTTTTCCTTAAGGAAAGCCTGCAGCCAGAACAAAGCCAAACGGGTACCCACATCCCCAAAACAGCCTTGCTGCAAAGCACTCACAGTTTATATTTTCACTGAGCAGGAATTAAAGCAAACCATGACATGTCTGACGAAGTTTACACGTGACTTTTCTCCAAACAAGCCTCAAGACTTTTGCCAACGAGCAACAAAAATAAAGATTGTTTTCAGGAGATAGCAAAGTCCTAGGACTGAGAACCACCAACTGGAAAAGGAGTATTTTCTAGTACCTCTGTAGAAGCACGGTATTTCTTAGACAAGAGAAGACAATCAAAGTCAGTCTTTTAACTCTGCTTAGTCTGTCTCAACCAGAAAAAAACCCTTTTATCATCAGAGCGAGCGTTCCGACCACGGCTTCCAGACACACTCCTTCGGGGCCTCGATTGGAGGGGCTGATTACGTCCTAGCCGGGGGACAAAACCATGCCTCCCTCGGGCTCAAACCGAGCAGCCAAGCCTCAGATATTCAATATTTGCTCCAGATTTCTCACCTCCTCCAGCCACATCCTCCCATCCCCCAGGAGCAAACACATAACTTCACCCGAGCTCGCTCGGGTGCCGGCCTTGCTGCCCTACTGTTTGCCGCAGAGTCCTGATGACTGAGGCGAGTAAAGAAACGAACGGCAAAAACGGGGACCAGAAAACTTCTCGCTCGGTCCCCAATGAGAGGTCAGCTGCAGACACGATTTGAGAAACCCAGAACAAGTTCATTGGTCATTGCTATCCTCTAAATCCAAGTTGCTTCCAGCTGGCTTTACAGCCAGGTAACAGGGCCTGCCGCTGGGGACGAACTTTTGGTTAACGGCAACATCTGAGTTTGGGTTTTGGAGCCTGGTAAACGGAAAGGGTGAAGCCTGTACGTTCCCAAGACAAAAGGTTCACATTTATGCTCTCCAGCACAATGGCACATTGTGAGCCGCTGCGAGTGCTCATCTGCTGTCCGCTTACGTTGGTTTAATGAATGCAGAGCCACCCTGCGAGCTGGCTCACAGGCTCACCACAAACTCAAATTAAAGGAGCTCGCCTAAGTCCGTTCCCAGCAAGCTTTCCCGATTAAACAGACAGCCCTATTATCATCCGGTTCCCTATTAAGTTGCACCAACTGCACAAACAATAGTCCCACACAGTTCTGCAGCGCAGGAAGACCGCAGCAGGATGCCCCACGGAGGGACAGCCCCGTCCCGCAGCCTGGCAGACCAACAGTTCAAGAGTCATTTTAAACATTAATATCATTTAGGATAAAGGTCTTTAGTCTTCTGTGGCATTTAGATCAGTGGGAACTGGTGGATTAGCTGACTCCTCCTTGCAAAGCTCATTTAATTTCATGTTTTTAATTTGACCAGTTGTAGCAAGAGCTGCATTACACTATCAGTGATCGTGTTAAATGGGAATCCCGCATCCTTCCGTCAGCTAGGAAGGGATAAAAGGCAGCGGCTCTGCACAAGATGCCAGCAGACAGACACCCGAAGGGCCTGGGCTGGCTAGGGGACAGCTAACACCAACAGACGTCTCCTCGCATAAACACAACAGGAGGAATTCGGTGGCCCAGTTTTGCTATGCTGGTCACAGCGTCCACTTTTCACATAACGCCTGGAAGATGGCCGATTCCTGACCTGCGGCACATACTTCCTCAGTTCCTCCACGGGAGAGCTCCTAAAGCCCACATCCGCTTCCCAACACGTTTAAGAGCCACAAAACCCTCTCCCCATTGTCGATCTGACAGCCAGGTCAGGACTGCAGGGCCAGTGGGATCATTTAAACACACGGGGGGAGGAAAGCCCGGGATTTTCCTGCCGGCAGCACAACAGAAAATGGCAACTTGTCAAATCACGTGGCCTCCGAGGCTGCCAAACCGGGGGGGGCCTGGCCCGGCAGCCCTCGCACTCCCCGGGCAGGAGCAGCCAGCCGGGGAAGCGCAGCAGCTCCGGAGGCTTCGGACCGGAGAGCGCCGCCAGAACCAGCGCGAAGGCCCGGACGCCCCGGCGCCGTTTCCCAGGGCGCAGGGCCCCGCGCAGACCCACACCAAAAATAGCGCGGAGCTCACACGCCGCATGCGCCCGCCCCGCGCCAGCAGCCACTTCCCCTTCCTTCTGGCACGTCAGGAATCCGGCCTAAATGTCACACCTTGTATCGAGGCACGGTCGCAGAGCTGCAGCTCGGACACGAGACTTTCCCGACTTGCTAAATAATCCCCACGGTAGGTCAGGATGGGATTAAGACTCCAAGGGGTGAGTAGGGGTCAGTCAGCTCTCCAAATCTGTATCCTGACTTGATTTATGGAAAACACGAGGACAAGAATGAACATACACACTTGCCTACCTTAAAAAAAAAAAACAACCAAGGACGGCCAATTTATTCTACTTGTTCACATTAGGGTCCCAAGGCAGTTTTAAGCCACCTTGTTTTTCTAGCCAGGACAAACAGCCCTCCGGTATACGCATCCTTATAAGGTTAGAAATGTCTCCAGCACGAGGTTCACTGAGAAGCCAGATAATTCATTCTCAAGGTCCAAGAGTTCAGCAAGCACTCGCTCCGGATTTTCAGGGCTTTCCACACACAGAGGAAGGTCTGTTGTGGGGGCAAGCTGCTTCAAGTCTCTACGGGGAGACAAGGACAAGCCCCCATGCTCTGCAGGGACGTATCCACAGTGCCGCCGGGTCCCGCTGCCTCCGCTCCCCTTCTGCCCAACCTTGAGAGGTTAATCCTTCCAACCCCCGAAAGCTGCGGAAATCAAGGCTGGAATTAGAGACCGTCCCGCAGGATCACAGAGCGGACAAGCAGACAGTTAAATTGAAAACGCAGCTTCAAGAGCAAGGCCAGGACGCCTCCCTACAAACCCTATAGTTAGCGATACAGCACTCGGGAAATAAATACTATCTGGGTGAAAGAGAACTGGACAAGGTTGGCACAGTTGAAACTAAATGGGACCACGTGGGCTCTTAAAATTTTCCATGCTAAAAATAACCAGGAGCACATGCTCTGCCTTATAGGAGGCATAAGAACAGGAGTTGACAAAAACCTGAAGAACTGGAGGCCTTGCCATTAAAATTAAAGCAAGAGAAATTACTGCAGAGAAACAGATATAGCAAGGCTTACTTGACCTGTCCTTAGCGTAAGGTCTGTTTTTATCAAAAGCTGAATCGGCACGTGGCATTGCCATATCTAAACCGCAGCTCCTTTGTTTTTCATACAGACAGTCCACCACGGAAGGACCACCTGCTTCTTCCAGGTCCTGCCGAAAAGCCTCTCTGTGGTTCAAACCGGAGAGCAAAGAGCTTTTCTGCCCACGCAGGTTTGCACCAGGAGGCTGACCTTGCAGGGCAGATCCGTGAGGCTGCAGTGGCCTGCGAGCCGGCCACACCGCCGGCCACCAGGGTGTCAGCCGGCCACCAGGCTGTGCAGCCTGGCCCACGCTCTCCTCCCAGGCCAGCCTGGTGGACCACCCTCAGCGCCAACATCACCCGGAGGGGAGAGCTCAGACAACACAACTCGGTAGTTACGAGCATCCGAGGACAGGCAGGAGCCAAGCAAGCAGGGTCTCAAGCTGGATGGCACTTATTTTAAAAAGCAGCGAAGCGGTATGTTTCTCTGTACTGAAATATTTAAAGCTCAGCGCGCTGCAGCAATTCCCCCTTCAAACACCAGCACTGGAAGGCAAGAACAGCAGAAGACACCCCTTCAGCAACACCACCTTCTCGCAGCCCAGTGAACAGGGGCTACGGAGCTCAAGGAACAGGCTCCTCTGGGAATGAAAACTAACGGAGCCACTCCACAACCTTAAAATATCTAAGAACCAACGGTCCTACTTGCAGAGGGATAAATTATGACAGAAGTAAAAGGCTGAAAAAGCTGGTGGTTGTGGAGCTAAACTACAGCTCTGGAACAAGAAACACCACCAACACCAGGCTGTCTTTTATCTCTAAGATAAAAAGTGCTTTCAGTGTAATCAGCCTCACCGACGTTCCTACAACAGCTCGCTCCCCTCCTTTGCAGCTACGCTGACGGCCCAGGCTTTATTATATTTCATTTGCCAGTCGCTGCTTCTCTCTATTTTCTCCCACTCAGGAGTCAAGCAGCGGCCCAGCACAGCTCCACCAGTATCACCAGTATCCAGGCTAAAGCAGGACTTGGAACAGCTTCTATTTACACGCTCAAAAGCGGAGGTTTACAGTAAAAGTGTCGGCCTAGCCAAACTGTAGGGTTTTTTTTTTTTTAAACAAATATTTTGGAAGTCACCAGGAAGCTCATACATAAGCCAGCACCAACCCCAGCACCAGCACTGCGTCCTGAACTGACCTGAGACCCAGAGCTGATCGCTCCCGCCCTGCGGCGGCACAGGTTACACTGTCATTAACATTAACCCTATCAGATTATCAAGCTCCTCACTGCACTTTATATCTTATTACCTTCCTGCTCCAATCGCTTCATTATTTAGTTTCCTCAACCAAGCTAGTGTCTCCCTGCGAATCCCGCATTACAGAGGAAGGCAGGATCAATTTTTCACCCCCTTGCCGGCGAGGTATGTCCGATGCAGGTTCTGAAGTTTGCTCCTGTAGCTGCACCACTTTACCAACACCACCTTTACCATTCTTGGCTATTCCTCAAAACTTGGTGGAGTTGGTTTTGGGGTTTTTTTGGGGGTGGTGGTGTGAGTTTTGGAGTCTGCTCCAGAAATAGAGCCAGACCAAATGTTCTGCTTCTTCAAGCTAGCCAGAAGAGTTCAGCACGTGAGGCAGAGGCCACATGACCCTTCTATTGCCACCCAGCTTTAAAGTGCAGAGAAAGTCCCCTGACTGCGACCAACCCCTCCGTGCACAGGTATCCCCCGCTGGGGAAGGAGCACCCCTCTTACAGCCAGGAGGCCAAGACATCAGGTGCTGGGATTCCTTCTGAACAGGCACCTCCTCCATACGCCTACCAGCCCAGACTCAACTCTTTTCAAAAAGTTTTTCACAGACAACTATAAAGAGTCCTCTATGGTACAGGCAAAGCAGCTTTTATTACCTTTATGATCTACCAACATGTTACAAAAGTCTTCCCCAAATCCAGATTTTGCTTTCTTTCATTCTTTCTGCATTTTCACCCAGGTCAGAGAACAGAACAAATTATTCTCCAGAATATCAGAAAAAAAAAATACATCTCATATTTAGCATTTTGCATTTGTTTCTACACCAGTGAAGCTAACAGTGCAGTGTCCACTACAGGTGCAGATTATAAATTAAAATTTAAAAGCAACCAGCTCAGTCAAATGCCTATCAATTTCCACAAAACAGGCGTGCACAACACTCAGGAGCAGAGACTAAACTAACCATCACGCTCTGCACGCAAGACAAAAAACAGACTTGAATTTTCAAGGAGACAGAATGGTGAGGCTTGTACCACAACACGCTGATACTGCGGTAAGAGACAGCGAGGAAAGGGGCAACACCGAGACCAAACAGGTATCTGGAGCGCAGCATTGACACCGGCTCACTAGAAGGTGCCCTGCGTGCGGCAGGGAGACCTTGATAAACAGCTTCTCAAAACAAAAGTTGGGCTAGACTTAAACAGAAAAGCAAAAAGTGTTGTTCAGCTGGAAGCCTCGTGCCCAGAGCTTGGCTTGCAGAGAACACCATCGGGAATACCAAGGGTTTGTGAAAAAGGCACCTGTCTTCACCTGAGCTGGGGAAGAGCAGCGAAGGTTTCGCTGACAGCCATGTGGCCTGAGCAAGCAGGAAGATCACTTTGTGTGCCTTAACAAGCTTTGCTACAAGAAGTTACACAACATCCTCGGGACCTAATCAGAGCCCTGCTTCGCTTTGATCTGTATCGCAGTGGCACCCACAAGTCCTCGCCCAGATTACGCTAGGGGCTGTTCTACACAGAAAGGCTTCCCCCAAAGATGGCAGGCTGCCTCCTTCCCGCAGCTCTGGCAGCCCTATTTAAAAAAAAAAAAAAAAAAAAAAAAAAAACCCAAGACACAGATTAAGTGACCTTCCTGCAGTCACATCGAGCCGGAGGAAATGCAAGGAACAGAAAACAGGGACTCCCACTCGAGAGCTGGGAGCCCGTCCTCTTCACCAGGCAGCAAACGGAGCACTATACTCCATTCAACTTGAAATATTTTAGGGAAATGACATGCACATTTCTTTCCTGCACCCCTGAACAACAAAAAATTCTTCCTAACCCTGCATTTCAACAAGAAATGGAACACGAGTCCAAGCTCATCACAAAAGAGGTTCCTCTTGAAGGGAGGGGAAACTGCAGAGCCACAGCCCTAAGATTTATGGGGATACAACCTCCAGGTCTCCAAATCACAGATTCCTCCCTATGCAAAGCCGATGCCCCCGATACAAGAGGCATATGCAGATCGTGAGCTTTTGCCAGGAGCGGCTGCTATTTATACACAGGGAGTCCAAATCAGGTACAGCACATGGCAGGTTTCTCATCCTCATTGCCAGGCGGCAGCAGGGGTCAGAGGCAATCAGGACCTCTTCAAACCACAAGCACGGATTTGTTTGCTGAAGAATGATTTTTAGGTGATCTTTTGTGAAGTATTCAACTCTGCTAATAGCAACGTACAGGGCCCATAAATTCAGAGTCAGCTTCCAGCTGGGGTGCAAACTGCAGGAGCAGCAAAGTTAATCAGAATCCACACAGAGGACAATTAAAAAAAAACAAAAAACCCCACAGTAAAACAGCTGAAGATGGACATCTTGCAGAAAAGAGTGACATGCAAAGATACCACCTTCAGCAATCCCCAACTCAACAGCGTTAGTTTCCAGAAAATATTAAGCACCTGCTGAATAAAATAACTTCTTCCAAGTATCTGAAAACGGCTGCCCAAAGTTAATCATCACTGCACAAAGTCTGACCAGCCATTTACATTAAGAGTTCCACAGAGGCACTGTAGTTAGAAATGAGGAATTACGAAAGGCTAGTCATTAGATCAGAAACATTAAACAATTAAAAGTAATTAATGTTTTTTATTATTTCTAGATGTTGCTAAGGGCACCTGGAATACCAGCCATGACCTTGTTACAGTCTCCCTGGACACTAGAAATACCTTAAATACCTTTTTCACACCAGTTAAGTGCACGTGAAAGAGGAGAGCCACAGATAAGTGGGGTATGTCGCTTGTAAAGCATTATGCTCTTCGGATAACCACTACTGCAAAAGTATACTCGCTCTCAAATACCCCTGAAGTCAGCCTGCAGCGGTTTCAAAACGAACACAAGAGTTTCAGCGTAGCACATCAACTGCTCCTGGCTCTGAAGAGCCCCGGCTGCAAGCCTTAAACCACCTCACTCCTGTCACAGTGAACTCCCAGGAGAACCTGCAGGAACTGGGAACCTCCAGACCACGGGGGATCCGTACGGCGGGTCCCCTCAGCTCACACCCGGGCGGCGAGGGGAATTCCTCTTGTCTAATTTCAGGCATTGTGTCTAGGTTAAGCCAAGGCTTTTGAGGCAGTTGATGATTTTCACTATTAGTATCTCAGAGCACTTCCAGAGATCTTTAAGAAGAAACCTGGTTCCTAGGATGGGAACTAAACTCAGCACAACCAAGGAGAGCACACCCAAGTAAGAAGCAGCTGCCAGAACACACAACTGGGTTCCTGCAGCACCTTCCCTGCAGACCCTCCAAACCTAGCGACAAACCTAACAACACAACGCGTCACATCCGAGAGCAAACAGCCTGCAGCCCTGCTGTACAAGATACTGTTAAAATCACTCTACGATTCACCTGCTTAAATCCCTCAGAACTGGTGTTGCATGAGAGCTTTTAGAAGTCCTTCAAGAGCTCAATGACACACTGAAACACAAGCTGAGGGACTGCCAGAGACAGCAAGCAGTGCAGTAAGAAGGTGGATTAGCAAGCCTGAAGCACAGTTCAAGTTCTACAGGCTTCCTGCTCCTTTCCACTTACTAAAAAGTTGTCATTTCCTCCAGCACACTTGGCAGCACGTGCAAGCAAACCAATTAATCGAGAACTAAACTATGCCATCAAGGTACACGTAGTGAAGCTGCACTATCCTTCAGGATCACAGGCACACCGAGATTACCAGATGACAGGTACAGGAGTGGATGCCTGCACCGCGTTTCGCCCTTTACACAGGAAGCTCATTAAAGAATCAAGAGGTTAAGTGACTCAAAGTGGGTCACACAGTGACCAGAGGAGCAAGGTCAGGTCGGTTGCTCCGACAGCTCCAGTCCACGTGCTACCAAGAAAAAGCTGCACCCGCCTCAGGAGCGGTTGCGCAGGCCATTGCTCCTCCCGGCCATACCCCCACACACGCAGGGCTGTACCTCAGTAGATCATTCACAGGCACAAAGCAAACAGGAGAAAAGTAAAGTTACCATCTCCTGCTACTACTTTCCCCAGCAACCAGTCATTTCCTTTCACCTAAGACAAAGTCCACAGAGGCTCCGATAACTCAGCAGGTGCGAGCACAACCGTCGACCTGGCCAAGGCAGCACATCACCCTGGAAACACAGAAAATCAGAATTATTTCCATTCTGCAGCCCCTTAATTTTCTATAACAGACAAACTCGTCAAGCGCAGCTTTTGTTGCTGTTTCCTACTATTACAGGTAATTTTCATGAAGATGATGCCCTAACTGAGATGCTGTTCATTCCATGTTCCCTGCTTCATGGTATAACTCAGTCGAGTGCAATAAAGAACTTGGCCAGACACAGATCAAGTTGCTCATTCTGGAACACAAGTAACTTAGAGCTCACTTGCTTCAAGGAGAGGGAAGAAGAAAAAAGGATAAAAAAAAGTCAAGTCCTTCTAGGAGAGCAAGCATTCTGCACCATGAGTAACATGGATCTTACTTACTTCAAGGAGGGGGAAGAAGAAAAAGGGAAGGGAAAAAAAAAAAGTCAAACAACAAGGATTCCTCCAGGAGAGCAAGGCTTCTAAAACATTACTTCCTCAGTAGCAATATAATTTCATTCCTTTGCTCCTGACTGTGCTCCAAGCTGGCTTACAGACAAATAAAAGTCACTGCAACAGATGAAAAGTTTGCTAATAACAGTTTTTATCAGCTATTACCATAACATAAGCGAGCCTTGCCATGCCAGACATACAGGAGACAACCCAAGGCAGCCTTGATCTTCACTCCCAGGTCTGCAACACTTGTGTCATCTCTCGCTTTCATTTCTGAGTAGCTATAAAGGGTTCGCAGCGGGAATGAATCACATTTAAAACCAACTCACAGAGCTGCCCCGGCCTGCGCCGCTGCTTCCCTGGTGAACGCACTGACTGACTCCGCCACTGCCGAGTGGGAAACGAGCGCTAAACCCCGCACAAGCGCACGGAAAACTCAGAGCGGCCACTCGCACGCCCGGAGCCTCCCCGCCCCGCTGCGGCACCGCCGGCCGTCCCCCGGGGCACCGGCCCCGGCCCCGCCGGAGCCACGGCCGCGCACCCTGCGGA